GAACATGGACAATAATGTAGTGATTAAAAAGGGAAGGAGGATAAAAAGGGGATAAATGGTAATGGAAAAATACAATAAAAATTTTCCAGTAAAAATAAATGAAATCAACATGTTAAGTTACAGAAAACATCTTGTGGGACTTAGCTGGAATTGCATTTCATTTGTTGATTAATTCGGGAAGTATCCTTATCTGTGTAATATTGTGCCAGCTCATCCAGAAATGTGGCACTGTTCTTCACTTATTCAGATCAGCTTTAGGTCTCCATTAAGTTTGGTTGTTTTTCCATCAATTAGGTCTTTTACAAGTATATATTTTTTCGTGTATAGAAATATAAAATATGAACTGTTTTTATTATCCTTTTAAAGTGAATATTGGTGAAAAAGGTAAAGCTATATTTCACATTTGTGACCAGATCACTTACTAAACTTTCTATTAATTGTAATAGCTTTTTCATACTGTTCTTGAAACTTTCAGATTTATGTTATTAATAAATAATGAGAACAGTATCACTTACTTTCTATCATCTACCTATATATCTATCTACCTATCTACCTATTTAATTTATCCTCATTTCCTTATTGTGTTTTATTGCATCAGCTAAAACATTCAGTGGTTATCTTTTTTCTCAGTTACATTTTACATACAATATTATTTTATTTTAGTTTCAGGTCTACAGCATAGGGGTCAGACATTTATATAATTTATGAAGCGACTCCCCTGATAAGTCTAGTACATACCTGCCATCATACGTAGTTATTACAATGTTATTGACTATATTCTGTATGCTCTACTTTACATCCTCATGACTATTTGGCAGCTACCAACTAGTACATCTTAATTTCTCCACCTTTTTTACCTCTGATCCCAATCTCTTTCCCATCTGGCAATCATCAGTCTATTCTCTGTTCTAACTCTATTTCTTTTTTGTTTCCTGTTTCTTTTGTTCCTTAGATTGCACATGTAAGTAAAATCATATGGTATTCATCTTTCTCTGTCTCACCTATTTCACTTAGCATAAATACCCTCTAGGTCCATCCATGCTGTCACAAATGTAAGATTGCATTATTTTTTTGTGGTTAATATTCCATTTTATATATGTGCCACATCTTTGTCCAATCATCTGTTGATGGGCACTTAGGTTGCTGCTATATCTTGGCTGTTGTAAATAATGCTGCAATAAACATAGGGGTGCATTTATCTTTTCAAATTAGTGTTTTGGATTTCTTTGGATAAGTGCCCAGAAGTGGAATCGCTGGTTCATATGGGACATCTATTTTTATTTTGGGGGGAAACTCTGTATTGTTTTTCACAGTGGCTGCACCAGTTTATAATCCCACCAACAAGGCATTGGGGTTCTTTTTTCTCCACATCCTTGCCAACACTTGTGGTTTGTTGATAATAGTTTTATTTATTTATTTTTCTTTGAGTTTGACACCACTGCAATTCCTACCTTGCTCTTTCTAATCTTCCTACATGCTTTAATTTAAATTCATAAAAAAGCTGCAAAACTATTATTTTTAGAGCATTTAAGACCTTTTAAAAATATTTTATTGATTATACCATTACAGTTGTCCCATTTCCCCCTTCATTCCCCTCTACCCTGCACACCCCTCCCCTCAATTCCCCCCTTTAGTTTATGTCCACAAGTTCTTTAGCTTCTACATTTCCCATACTATTCTTACCCTCCCCCTGTCTATATTCTACCTACTGTCTATGCTACTTATTCTCTGTACCTTCTTCCCCCTCTCCTCCTCCCACTCCCCTGTTGCTAACCCTCCATGTGATCTCCATTTCTATGGTTCTGCTCCTGATCTAGCTGTTCGCTTAGCTTGCTTTCATTTTAGGTGTGGCTGTTAATAACTGTGAGTTTGCTGGGGGGGTTTTTATTATTCATATTGTTCATCTTTTTATCTTCTTTTTCTTAGATAAGTCCCTTTAACATTTCCTATAAGAGCTTGGTGATGATGAACTCCTTGAACGTGACCTTATCTGAGAAGCACTTTATCTGCCCTTCCATTCTAAATGAAAGCTTTCCTGGATAGATCAATCTTGGTTGTAGGTCTTTGGATTTCATGACTTGGAATACCTCTTTCCAGCCCCTTCTTGCCTGTAAGGTCTCTTTTGAGAAATCCGCTGACAGTCTGATAGGAACTCCTTTGTAGGTGACTGTCCTCTTATCTCTTGCTGCTTCTAGGATTCTCTCCTTCATTTGAATCTTGGGTAATGTAATGACGATGTGCCTTGGTGTGTTCCTCCTTGGGTCCACCGTCCTTGGGACTCTCTGAGCTTCCTGGACTTCCTGGAGGTCTATTTCCTTTACCAGATTAGGGAAGTTCTCCTTTGTTATTTGTTCAAATAAGTTTTCCACTTGTTGCTGTTCTTCTTCCCCTTCTGGTACCCCTATAATTTGGATGTTGGGACGTTTAAAGATGTCCTGGAGGTTCCTAAGCCTCTCCTCATTTTTTTAAAGATTTTATTTATTTATCTTTAGAGGGGAAGGGAAGGAGAGAGGGAGAGAAACATCAATGTACGGTTGCCTTTTGTGCGTCCCCTGCTGGGAAGTGGCCTGCAGGGAACTGGCCTGCAACCCACGCATGTGCCCTGACTGGGAACTCTCCTCATTTTTTTGAATTCTTGTTTCTTCATCCTTTTGTGTTTGGTCATTTTTTCTTCTTTCTGGTCCACTCCCTTGATTTGAGTCCCAGTTTCCTTTCCATCACTTTTGGTTTCCTGTGCATTTCCCTTGATTTCACTTAGGATAGCCTTCATTTTTTCATCTAATTTGTGACCAAAATCAACCAGTTCTGTGAGCATACTGATCACCAGTGTTTTGACCTGTGCATCTGATAGGTTGGCTATCTCTTGGTTGCTTAGAAGTATTGGCTCTGGGGCTTTGAGTTATTCTTCTGCTTGAGCCATAATACTTTGGTTTGTTCGTGCCTCTTATATATGAGGGGGGAAAGTTTAGGTGTTCACCAGGGCAGGTCAACCCAGATGCTGGGTTGTGACTGGGGGTGGGGTCAGAGAGGGAGCGGTGGCATTTGTTCTGCTCTCTCTCAGATTTTGGTCCCTTCTGCCACTTCCCACAAGCAAATTGGACCCTTCTGGTGCTGGTTCTCAAGTGGGTGGGCTTATGTATTTTCTAGGACCCTGTGGATCTCTCCAACAAACTCTCCTGTGAGGCTGGGAGCCTCTCCCGGCACCTCAACACCAGAAAGTTTTTCCAATTAGTGCTTTTAGGCTTTATTTCCTGGCACTGCCAGGAAATAAAGTCAGCCAGCTGCCTTGCACCCTCACTGCGTCTGCCCATTGCCACCCCACGCCTGGGATCTGCCAACCACCGCCAGTGTGCCTAAGTCAGTCTGGCAGCCACCGCTTTTTCCTGCCGCGACCCTTCTCTGCCCGTAACCAACCTTGCCCCTCTTACAGGTCTGGATAAATGGTTTGTTGTTGTCAGACTTCGGTACAGTTCAATTTTCTGTCTTCTTTGGTTGTGGTTTCATTTCTAAATCTTTGTTGTCCTTCATTTTGGTTGTGTGAGGAGGTACAGTGTTTCCACTTATGCCTCCATCTTGGCTGGAAGTTTCAGCATTTAAGATCTTGCTCCCTGGCATGTCATCAGTGTGGGTCAAATAAAATCTTATAAAAATTATCTATACACTTGGACATCTCTTACACTGACAGTGGGGACTTCTGCATGGAAAATCTGGCCCATTGCTAAACTGCTTTCATTGGGAGTTCTTCCTTACTATATTGTTACCAAATAGCAAGTAGGGTGCCACCACCATGTAGGCAAAATCTGGAGGCACGAGTCTATTCAAAAGCTGCAGAATTTTGAAACAACAGCTTTCCAACTTGCATTAGTCACTTAAGCCTATCAATTAAGGCTAAAATCTTTAGCTCCTGAGTTCCCCTATCATTCCCCTGGTTTTTAATTTTCTTATTTCTATAGGATTAGTTTATAAACTAAAACAACTTAAGATACAAAAGCTACACAATTTTGGAAGAATTAGCAGGCTTCTACCTCGAGCCCATCCCTTCTATAACATTTGAAGGAGAATAACCCAGCCACCCTTTGCTAAGCCAGCCAGATCCTAGGTTGCACCTGGAGTTTCTTCTCCTATCCAAAATACTGTCCTTTGGGAAATGCAGGCAGCTGCAGCACGGTCATCCAGGAAGCCTTGAGGAAGAGAGCCCTAGTTTTATTTTTAATGTCTTTATTAGCAAAATAAACAGTTCGCAACTTGACAGAAACCCCCAGCTATTTTTTTCCTTATTTAAAAATTTCCAGGTGTGAATTCCAAGTCTGGATATCACTGAATTAGGACAATGTTTGTAAGAGGTCAGGTGAAGTACCATGGAAGCTTGAATTAAGGCAGTACCAATGAAGATAGATAGGCAGGAAAACTGACAGTGGCCAATTGGATTTGAGGATGGAAGAGAAAGGAGTTACTGGTGTATCTTTCTGTCTGGCTTGGATGAGTGGTAGCACCATTTACTGAACTAGAGCACACTCAGAGGGTAAATGGATTATGAAATGATCTTGAATAAATAAATCTAAGGATCTTGCAGAATGTCCAAGTGGAGTGAGGCAGTTTATAACTGGAAATATAATCTAGGAACTTAGGAGAGATTTGTGGGAATCTAGGTGATAGTTGAAATGGTGGATATAAATGAGATCAAGAGCATTTTTCATTTTCTTTGAGTAATGATATTTAAAAGTAAGGAAGTGGCTACTGGTTTGTATGTAGCACACTGACCTTCCTGTGGTTAGCCGGGGTTCTAGGCTCTGCTGTGTGACTCCAGTTTTTTTAGACATATCAAATATTAAAATACTGAGTACAGTGGGAATAGAATTTGGGAAAGAACTGATTAAAGAAAACAGTGCCCATGGGCGAGTGGTAAGTAAAATGATGTAAGAACTGTAGGGGATTATGGAAAATCTGACATCTCTTGGGTACCAGGCAAATTAGCATTTATTACTTTCAATAAACAGCATTGACATTTTGAGAGGACTGCATTTCTGCAGAACCATCTAGACCACAAAACAAGGACACCATTTGTTCTAAGGTCTTTGAAGACAGGAGGCACTAGAAGATGTTTCCTCAGTTTGAGGGGCAGAAAATATCCCTACACAAAACTCTAGCCCAGTGCTTCTCAAACTTTAACATGCACACAAACCAACTAGGAATCATGTTAAAACTTAGATTCTGATTCAGTAGAATTAGTGCAAGGCCTGGAATTCAGTATTTCCAACAAGTTCGCAGATGATGATAATGCTGCCAGTCCTACTCAAAGTGTTTTGCAAAGCATGGTTAAGAACCTTCTATGGTAATTTGACAATTATTGGACCTGTGTCAAAATTTTTGCAATTATTTAATTTTTCCCTATGTTTGTTTTAAATTTGTCATTTTACATGTTGAATTGAATACATTGTGGCTTTTATTTTGCATATCTTTTTTCCCTTTTCACTTTAAAATTCATTCTTATTTTGTTTTATGATAGTATCAGTCTGTGATGGATTTGAGAAAAAAATTGCATCTCATTACAGATAGTTTGAGAAACACTGCTCTAGACAATGGAGATCTTTTTATTGGGGACATAGAATTTAATTAGAAATGGTTTGATTTCTGTTACATATGATTCTAAAGCAGTATTTTAAACTTTTCTTTTTATTTATTCCATAAACAATAACAAAATTCAGCTAGGTAACATTATGACAGTTTCACCATACACTCAGTCACAAATATTTAAAACCTTTGCAACAAGAACAACAAAACCAGAGGTGTTACAAGAATAATTTACAAGAAAATCTATAAAACAGCAAGAAGCTCACAAATGTTCATTTTCCTTTGCACAAGATCACTATACTCTTTCACAACATGTTTTGTGTTACAAAATTCCCAACAAAAGTGTATTTTTTCTTTGTATTGTGGTTTCTAAAACCAGAAACTTTGAAGTAAATATCCTTTTATTAGCACCTAGTGGTGCACAAAAGGAAAACTCTCACATACAGACACTTCACAGCACTTTTCTAAGAAAAATATACACTTACAAAATATGTTACAAATTGGCACACTTAAAAATATACAAGATTTTGTAGGCGTCTTAAGACTGATCCTTAAGCTTTATACTTCAATTGACTCTACAGATTATTTATAAAACTTAATTCTAAAAGAAAAAAGGCAAATAATTTCCTAACTTTTTAAGGTTGGAGTGTCATATATCAAACAGAAACTCAGGTTACATTCATAAAAAGGGCCTCTAACACTTTTATTTTAAATTTTCTTAAATATTTAAGGGGTTTGGGAGAAGAGGAAAATGGGGATAATAGTTTTTTTTAGCACCATAAACCAGTAACTTACCAAAGAGGTGCATTCAGTTTTATGGAAATTAAGTTAAGGACTAGTACATTCAAAACTCTGTAGGCATCAAACCCTAGTCAGTGCTACAGGTATCCCAGTAGAGCATCTTAAGCTTTCTCACCCCTCACTGGGAGTCAAAAACAAAAGGCCTCTTCTAATATTCATTCTAAGCCTTTTCCTTTGTGCTGTAAAACCAGGTGTCTCTCAAAGAGGCAAAATTATTTAAATATCTCCTTTCTTCTTTTTGAGGGGGATGTCTTTTTAAGACTCAGAAACCAGTGAGCCTGTTAGATGGACATACAACCTTTCTATCTCATGTTGATGAGTGTTAAAGTCAGTATCTATTCACCCAGATACTGATTTTAAAAGCCTCATTCATACCTTCAACTTTGTACTAAGCCTCTTTCTTTTACATTGTCCTTCTCTAATGACATTTACATTTTAGTTATGATTCTGAAACCAAGAGTACATCTCAAGAATCATGTATCTGTAATGGGGGCTCTGCTTGATGACTGTAGTTACTGTTTAACTCTCCAAGTAAAAAAAATAATGTGCCTTAAAGGATAGCCTGAGCGCTGTCATCAAAACAACACCATGCTGGCTGAGGACTCTCAAGCAGGTGACTGTGTTTTCCAAGTTTAAACAGCCAAGACAATTTTTTCTCTTTTATTCAGGTACTCGAGACACCTTTACAAAATCCCTGGCCTACATTGTATTGACAAGATCCCTATGTGATTGATTACTAAGATGATTGATTTTGGTACTAAACCATCTAAACACAATGATTTGCTCAGTGAATTTTATGATTATAAAAGAAATCTCACATTACTTTTATATAATAAAAAAGACATATTCCTATAGTGATGGGTAGTCATTTAAAAAATCTCTAAATGAAAACAAAACTTTTTAAATTAATTAATTTCTCAACAAACATTTCTAGTTCTAGCACTAGTTAGGACTAGTTAGTGCTCCATTCTCCTCTTCAGTGCAGAAACTTAGCTCTCTTCAATTCTTGGGGCTGGTCTGAGAGCATCTGTAAATTGAAGATGTGGCAGATATGCATCAAATTGGTTCAACTTGGTAAGAGCAAGCTTAGTTAAGAGGTCCTTGGATATGGTTTTTCTCCTTTAGGCAGTAAATGCTGATTACAACCCACTAAACTGGAAATTCACTAAAACTGCAGAACCTCACATAACAGAACCTAGGATGCTAGCCAGAATTGCTTACAGCTTGTGAAGCATCCTCTATGCTTTTTTTGTTATGCACACACTTACCTCCCTCCCTCTAGCACAGATACCGATGTATCCCAGCAAAGAACAAGTTCAGAGAAGATGAAAGTTGTCACAAAAGCCCACCTAGCACCAAGGACTTCAGGGGGATGACTAAAGAAGTGATGGTCAAGGTAGTGCAGGATGTTTGAAAACATTAGGAAATGGTAAGGCCTTAACACATAACTGCACAGAGTAACAAGAAGTCAGAAGAGAAAGATGGAAGGAAGCAGCATAGGAAGGTGGTATGTGAGACACCAGAGAAGCCATTCATGCCAGTTACCACAGCCAAAATATAATCCCAAAGTCTCGAAGAACCTTGGTCAAGGCCACTGTTTCAACACCCTTCTCCACACAGTCTAGCACCTAACTAGGGTAGAAAGGGGATCAGATCTATTCTTACAGATTTTCAAGAAAAAAAATTTCCAACTTTCCTCAGTCATGTGACATAATTCTCTGTGTGTGTGTGAATATGTGCTAAAAATTAGGTTTGAAAGTGATCAAAGCAATTAAACGTAATTAGGAGATAGAAGTTTCTTCTTTGAACTTCCACAGCGGAGTAGACTGGTTAAGGTTCATACAAGTCTGACACTTTGGGGAGGTGGAATATGAGATTATCAAAGAAAAAAAACTGTGAGACCAAGGACTGAGATTAAGTAAGAAGAATAAGAGAGAATACCATTTCCAGGAAAATAAAAATTAAATGGAATTAATTCGGGAAGGCATTAATAAGAATCAGCTTCTCAGAGAGGATAGGTTTGTAGGTAGTGGCAGTCAGAAATTTCAGACCAAGGAAAATTTCATATACGTGACTTGAGATATCAGTGTTAGGGAAAACATTATTTTTATATCACTGGTTCTCACTCCACTAAGGCAGTTGGTTGAATAAGGGATCTCCAAAATGTCAGGCCTACTATGTTGTGACAGGAAAAACAGAATTTTCAGAGGAGAGACAGTATCAATAAAGCCCTAAAAACTGAAGTCAGAACATCATGTACTGAGGGGGATATTAAGTATAATTAAGAAAATAAGCATTTTATGACTTGTCCTATTGATCATTACTCCAACTCAGTTTCTTGTTATATTTTAATAGAGAGTGATAGGTTACCGGACACTAATTTATATGTTAAAAACATAATACAGTGAAGGCCAATTTTAAAAAGGTACTTTAAAATGGCAATTCTTTTTGGAGAAAAGGATGAATCATGCCCTAGACTTGGCCCCTAGTGAGTTTCACAGGAGGAACTAAAAGAGCATCTATTGCAAAGGATTAATGACAGCAGGAAAATTGTTTGTTTCCAGCAGTTTTAGGTTGTCCTTCTGTTCCACCCACCCCTTCTTGAAAGCTGAACTGACACTGAGAAAAAACTGGACAACTGCTCCCATATTTACTTTTTTTTTTTATAAAACACATTGTACTCATGAAACATTTTATTTATTTCTTCTTTTAATTGCCAGCAGGTGACTTTGAAGTCTGGAGTCGTGGGGATCACAATATAGGCAGAGTTGGTGATTCCAAACCAAAATTCAACTGCAAAATAGAAAAAACAAAAACAGAACGAATACCAGCTCCTAGGAACCAGCCATAGAATTTAGTGCAAACAGCTAGTTATCAGAGTGGGGAAATAGAAGAAATTGGTCTAGTTGGATTTTTTTCCCTTTTGGATGGCAGCTGCAGAGCAGGAGATGTTTCATGTGGTGCCTTTTCAGTAACCAATTTTCCAGGACTCATTACATACAGAGAGCATCAAAGCCTAGAAACAGGCCCGAAAGCGCTTCACAGAATGCTCCTCACCCACTCATCCATACAGATACACACACATCACACCATCAAAAACACAGGCTTGTTCATTTTACAACCTAGCTATAAGTAGTAGAGCAGGCTGATGAAATGAATCATGGACTGGAAAGTGTGTATGCCAATCTATGTGACAGGCTTCCATCCATTTGTCTCTGACTACTTTCGAATGTTTTTTTTTCTCTGTTTCTGGACATATTTTGGTGGCAATAACTAGGTAGATTCATATTTTGCTTAATTTTTTCTTCTGAAACATTCCCCCCCCTTTTTTTAAATCCCCCTTTCCCCCACCCACTTATTCTCCACCCTTCCACCCACAGGCTATATATTCAAAAGGTAATAGGTGAGTAATAATATTAGTAAGAATAGTAAGGTTAACAACAACAACAACCAACAACATTAATAATATTAATCCCCTATATCTGTATAGCACTTTAGGATCTACAAAGTGCTTTCACATCCATTATCTCATCTGTGCCATAATGCATCAGTCATCAGACACACAGGCCTTCAACTGTGCAAGGAAAATAGATCAAATGTTAGAAGTAAAGTGGTAAATAAAGGGGAAGAAAAAGCTAGTAGTGAGGGATATTGGAGCTGTGAAATTTTAAAAAAGGGGGGTAGGACGGGATAAAAAATGTGGTTTCAAAAATATATGTAAAAAATTGAAATTTAAGTTTAGTGTGTGGCATCAAATACTAGTCATCCTCAGACTAAGTATATATGGCCCAAATCAGTCACTACCATAAACTGTTAGTTGACCTGATATATATATATATGTATGTATATATATATATATATATATATATGTAATTGTACTAAATTATCATAATATTTTCTTTAAATAACATTAGCATTGCAAGATTAAACACTTAGAGAACAACTAAAGCCATGATATGAGTGCACTTTTGACAAAACTGGAATAAAACATGTAGGAAATAAATAAAAGCAAGCTACGTACTTCATTTATCATTAGTCTTGATTTTACAGTTATTTTATAATTTATCCCAGACTATTATAAAATATATAAAACTGAGATATAAAGTATCAGCAATATAATTTTGCACTTTAAATAATTTTCAGCTACAGATTTTGCTTTTAGAAAACAAACTTTAAATCAGCTGTTTTATTTCCTTGTAAAAGGTTCTGTAAATGTATATGCTTGGGTCCCTGATGGACTTAGCCATTGTAACTTCCAGACTTTTCCAACATTTTAACCCTCAGGCAGTGGAACAAACAAATCTTTATTGTGCCATGTTTAATTTTTCATGTTTCCACACAGGACAGTAGAGCTTAAAACATTTAAATAATTAATGTATGCACATATATATATTTTAAAATTTATTAATGATCTTTATATAAACTGTGGGGTGAATCTGTGAGATGAGGTAAAGAAATTTGGCACATTTCAAACAGTATCCTTTAAGTTTTGGTAAAGTATGTAGCACAACATATTTTTCACTGTGATCTATAGGTGCTATCCACATAAGGTGGGGGTGGTTAATAGCAAGAGTCACTGGAATGTTTCTAGTAAATCGACAGGGACAAGCTCCCAAAATACTCACAACCAAATGTTGATATAGAAGTAAAAATATATACAATAGAGTCACTTGTTTGTAGTTTGGCACAATGTTTTCCTTTTTTTCCCCTTGGGTAAATAGTGCATAAACTACTTGTGCAACTGTGTGACTTTTAAAGTCTTTTACATAGAATATCAGATTAAAGTTTGTTTCCAAAGACTTATTCCCACACTTAAAAACTCTTTCCTTTAAGCACTTACATGTCAACATACATACCACAAGGCATATTTTGAAAGAAATAAAATACAAACATCAAATGTCTTTCTGGAAAATGCGAGCCTCTTCTTCAAATACAGGCAAAACCCAAAATGCTGTTTCTGCTTTTAGGAGATTGTAGTCGGAATCCCTGCAGAAAAACCAAACAATTTATTCCATTTTAGTTAGTTTTACTTTTTTTCCCCCAAAGGGATCACAAAATCTAAATCTGTTTATATCATAGTAGATGCTGTATGATGCAGAAACAGATAGAAATACCAGGGGGCACTAGAAAGCACTTCTACTTGCTGAATGATGAAATTTTGTTTTCCAAATTACAAATTTGGAATTTGTTACAAAATTACAAATTACAAAAATAATTTTCCAAATTATTTTTGCTTAAATAATCTTGGCTTTTAATTCTTCTGTTGAATTTTTTTCTTTCTGCCCCCCAAATTATTCAAAAGCACATTTTAGTTCTATTTTCTTTCCCTTCCCCCAAATTATTCAAAAGCACATTTTAGTTCTATTTTCTCAGTAAGTAAAAACTATCATTGAATAGCAGAAAAAGTAGCTTTGTTAAAGCTTGTACTTAGCCAAGACACAACAAAATTGCCCAATCTTTTGAGTAGCTTAAAGGTTTGGAGATTTTCATGCACTTTTACCTTTTTAAAAAAAAAATTGTAAAAGAAGGGAATTGGGCAGTTTCTTTCATGCAAACTTTTGCTTTCAAGAGGGGGAATATGACATACTGAAGGCTTAGCAGGCAGTAGAAAAGCTAAGGGTGCATCATCTCAGCCATTTTGGTGCAGTATTACCTCAGTTTTTCAAAAGAAGCTGTCCCAGCCTCATCCTTGTGGACCTGTTCTCGCTCCATGCGCTTTCCCTTACACTTGTCATCTCTCAAGGCCTTGGAGCTGGATTTGTGACGATATAACTTTTTGTGTGTTGGTCCATTATTGCCTAAAGTGCTCAGGTTATTATACTTTTTATCAAAGAAGGCAGAGCGAGAGTCCTCATTATAACCAGGCATGTTTGCACGACCAGGATCACCTATTGCTGCTTTCCCATTGCTTTTACTCACACCCTTGATGGACCTGTGATTCTTAGTGGCTCCTGGTGACCCATTGTTGACTTTTTTCTTAGATTCCTGTGGTGTCCCAGCCAATATTTTGAGTGTTTTTAATTTTAGACTATTGGACTCAGGGGAATATAATATGTTAGGGTCCTCATGGTGCTGCATCGGTTCCCAAAGGGGCTCTATGGAGGCCATCATGAATCTCTGCACATCTGCCATACCAGAGGCAATGTTGGACAAGATATAGGAAGGCTCTTGAAATTCCCGCTGGTCATCATCTAGGAGGTTGTTGGTATTGGTGCCCATGCTCATGTCACTCCAGCCTGGGCTGCTGTCTTTCCCCAAAGCCCAATCTCCAGAAAGTCCCTTCTGACTTGGCATCTTCATAGAGGCCCCAGGATCACCGTGTTGGATACATTCAGTCAGTGTCTTCCCTGTGGAGGATATGCTGTTGATTTGATGGCCAATGTCAGTTTGCATTTTCTCTCCATTGATTGCAGCCATGTATTTTCCTTTCTTTGTTGACTTAGGGACCTGGCGGAAGGTTTTACCAGATGGCTTTTCAATCCCTTTGTTGGTGACTTTGGGAGATTTTTTCCTGGTGTTTTTCTGAGAAGAGCTTTGGTTCATAGCCCCACTCTTGTTGGGTGAACTTTTCTTTCTTGATTTTGAAACTTTGTTGTTTGTATTCATTTGACCAGAGGGATCATTAAACGTTGATAAGCAAGGGGTTTTTGGGAGCAGGCTGACAGAATCCTCATCGTTGAACATATGGAACTGAAACTGATGGTCATTTAAAGAAAATCCTTCCTCCACTTGGACTTGCTGTGAAAGTGTACTGCAGTCCCACTTGATCTTCTCCATACTGCCCAGTGGTCCTGGAACACCCTCTTGGAACCCTTTCAGTGTTCCTAATGTCTTTGTACTCTCACATCTGGTAATTTGAGGGGAAATACTGGGGGTGTCAGGTGGGGACATCTCTGAGAGAGAAGAGTGGCGAAATTTGTCAGGAGTGAAGTTGGAGATATCCAGGAGGTCAGTGGACTCCTTTAGTGGTGCTATTTCATCAGTGTTCTGCTGGATCACCAGCTTAGGGCTGCAGTGGGCCAGGAAGTCATCTGTGATATCATCATCACCATCCTTTTCACAGGGTTTCACGCTTAAAGAGCAATAATTGCTTGTATTGGCAGAGAGTGGGGCCATGGAATCAAAGCTAAAGAGTTGACCATCATCTATATTGACTGAGCCTTGTTGGAAAGGAAAGCAGATCTCTGCATTATTAAAGTGACACAATTGATAAGTGTCATCAGGTGCAAGATGGGTGTCTTGCACAGAGGCATATAGGACCTTGTTGCAACTAATGCCACCATTACTGAGGCAGATTGGATTGTATGTTGTAGCTGTGAGGTTATTTTCCATGGACACTACCTGGGAGACTCCAAATTCACTGGACTGGTTTGGAGCTGTCTCATTTGAGACTTCAGCTATGAATTTCTGGGGGCTAGAAGTAGGCTTGTTGGGCCACACATTTTCATACTCGCTTGATTCCATTTTGAAGTTTTGGGATGACTGCTGTAGCTCAGACTCAGAAGGTGAGGAAAGCACGCAGTCCTGGGGAGGCTGGAGAGGTGCAAATGGTTTTTCTGTTTGAGTGAGGTTGCCTTCATTTTGTTCTGGAGAATGGTGAGTGAAGTATGAGATACCAGCATTATTTGACAAGTCAGATGCATCTAACAATGTCTGCAGGTACCCTCCAGGTATAACAGGTATATTGCTGGCAACATTAGCAGATGATAGAGGCATTTCAGAAGAGCAGGTTGTTGGTAGGAAAGTAGAATTCTTAGCAATCTTTGCTTCATGAAATTCAGATAAATGGGAACTGTTTGAGGTTCCAAGAACAGCTTCATTGTTTAAATTATCCTTGGATGATCGGTCTTCCAAAAGAGGGCTCATTTGAACAACTGTCTTGCTTTCTTGCCCAGCTTTGAGTTTCTTAGATTTTAATCTGGCTTCACTTTTAAATTTGATTTTGTTGAGTACTCTTCTCTCTGGCCCCTTAAATTCTGTATCTTGGGATTTGAATTTCACTGAGTCTGGGCCTGTGATGTCATTTAAATGTGATCCATTTGCACAGTTGGGAGATTTCAGTGTACCTTTCAGGCTCCCATCTTCTTTGTGACTACTAGCTTGCCTCTGATCATTGCAGAATGAAACTTGCTTACCACTTGCTGAAGTTTCCACGGATGGGATTCTTTGAATCCTGTGCCTGTTGCCAAGTTTAGATTTTCGTTTGCGAGTAGGTGGCAGGAATGACACCTCAAAGCTACCTGATTCAAAGCTTTGCTTTGAGCATAAGTGTGTCTTGTTGGATTCTGTGCTGCTGTTTCTCTGCTTCTTCTTCTTCTGCCAGAAGCCCTTTAAGGGTGCCAGTTTGGCATATTTGTTTAGCTGATGCTCACTCAAATTCACTGTTGTCTCACTAGCATCCACCCTACCCAATTTCACCAGCATGTTCTTCTCACCTTTAAAGCGATTGATGATAATATATTTGATAATGACAGGGGGCTCTTTACGGGTTACTTTTCTTCTCTTTTTGGGACACCATTCATCATCATCTTCCTCTTTGGAACCACCTGGCAGCCATTCCTTCCTCTCATTTACTTTTTCACCCTCTAGTGAGTCAACATCATATAGATAATCTTCACTGTACCTGACTTTTCTCTTTGCTCGCAGCCCATAGTTCTGCTGGGAGGAGGAGCTTCCAGAATTATTGTCCCGAGCCATATAGCGGTTACAGTCTTTGATCTCCCCCATGGCATCATAAGAAACCTCAATGAAGGAACTGTCATCACTAAAATTCCCTGATGCTTCCAAGGAATTGGCAAGATGGCCCTGCTTTGGATTCTTAAGTTGCCCTCCCTCAGTCCCACTGCATGGTTTATTTAAGGCAGATTTTTCTCCATTGTCCTTTCCATCTTTTTTCTCCACACCTTTGTCTTCCTGTCCTTCTTCTTTTCCCTTCTTTTTGTCCAGATTTTTATCTTCTTCCCCCCAGATGATGCTCATGTCAGGTACCTTGAATTGGGAAATATCGTTACTCTGCTTCAGGGTCCCACTCTTAGACTCTCGCTTGGGGCAGGTAGTAAAGACACTGGGAAAAAAGTTGAATTGGGCATCCTCCTGCATCAGAAGGGTGGTCTTGTCTCGAACATTGTCCTGGAAGGACTCATATCGAATTTTCAGGGAGCAAACATCACTCCCTAGTGTTGACTCATCATCATCAAACATGTAGTTATCCACATCTTCTTCAGAAAATAGGTTGACAGATAGCTCATTCTTGGAACAAAGGTCAAGCAGTTCAATTTTACTCTCACTAATGAAAGTCTCAAAGTAACCCCAATCCTGATTGGAATTTGCCAGTAAAGCCTCTTCCGTGTTGCACTTATCTAACAGTAATGCCTCATAATAACTTTTCTGAGCTGGATCCTCCAAGTCGATGTCAGGTTTCTCAGCTTCTCGTCTATCTCCCGCCCTTGATTTGTGTAGGGGGAAGCCCAGGAGCTGGTCTGAGAGCAGCTGCTCTCCGTATTTCATGTTTTCACCAGCATTAATACACTGGATCCCTATATCAGAGACTGCACAGGTTTCATAATCCCTATTTAGATCACCAACTTTTAAACTGATCCCTGGCTCAGGATCTACTGCATCCTTGGATTCCATGAAGCAGCCCAAGCAAGTCCGACTTGGCTGCATGAGGCAGTCCCCATTCAGAGCTGACATGCCTGCAGGCTCCATTATGGCAAATGAAGCTTTCTCACACTCATTTGGCAGTGACCATGTGTTCAGGCCTTTTCCAACACCAGATGTAAGGGAGATGGCATTCACAGAAGCACTATTAGCAGCATGCTCAGGTGCTTCAATCAGGCCCAAAGGAGAGGGAGGGCTCTGCATACAGGGCTTCTTGGAGGGCAGGGGCAAGAGACCCCTGGGATACATCAAGGTCTCTTTTTGAACCACTGGTATAGGCTGGACAGGTGCAGCAGCCTCTAGAGCTGCAAATGACTTCATCGCCATATCCTGGTTGTCTGAATCTAGAGAAAAGGGGAAAAATGACAGGAATAAAATTAAAGGTTTTAAACCAGACTCATTAACTGTCTTTCCCATGGTCAGTTTCTGGTACTTGATCTTATTATATAAGCTAAGCCTCAGTTTCTCCAGCTTTAGAACAAGAAATTGCAAAGTTAAAAAATAACCCTGATTTTATAGTCTATTCATGTGAGTAAAAAACATTTTTTTAAGGTTCAGCTTTTTCTTCAGACAGATACTTTCCTCAGAAATGAGGAAATAATTGGACTGAATGCATGATCAACTAGAAAGTCAAAGCTTTCAAGGTAAGAAAATGCTCAGATGGGATCTTCATGGTTCTGAGCTATGAGGCTCAGTCCTATTTTTCAGACCTCTGTTCTGAGAGCTCATACTAAATCTAGATGTTCCAAGACTCACATCAGGGCACATTTCTAATTCTCTAGGAATTTTGAAGAACTTAATTATTCATCTGACAGAGATAATTTGAGAGAGCAAAATGGTTGAATTGGATATGTCTTAAAGACCCATCTAGCTCAGTTAGAGATTTGGTAGAATAAAATTTAGGATTAAGGTAAATTTCAGAGGCATTCTAGACTTAACCTACACAAACATTGTGGATACTAAAAATCTACATTGGGAGAGATATTATGTAGTATAATTAAATTCCCTTACCATTTTCTTTGACCCCATTAATCAGAGTGTTTTCTCCATTGGCTGAGGCAACAACAGCCTTATCTTGTTGGTTATCCATGAATGTAACCTCTTATTGTTTCATTCCAAGTCCAAATGTTGTCCAACCTGCATATTTCAGATATATATATCAATCATTAAACTTGTTTTTCCTCTGTTTTAAGGTTATTTCAGCTAGAGAGGTCTTAAAATGCTCACTGGAATTTACCTGTTTCCAGAGTGGCTTCATAACTGCTATTGTTTTGTTTCATTGTTTATATCTACTGTATAAATCAATTTGGAAACTCACACTTCATTCATACATCCTAGATCTATGTACCCCTTCTAAGCCACCAAACTATTCAAATGTAAAATCTGAGGAAGCAGGCAGACTTACATTTTCTTCAAGATAGTAACCCATTTGATTTAAGCATAGCTGTCCAATTACAAATAATGCAAAGTAAAGTGCAGAGTAACCTGGGGTTAAAGGGTATGTTCTTGTGGAGATTAGTTTTATGTCTGTTTGCTTTATTTCTGCTTCAGATGATCTGAAGCTCACAAAAAAAAAACAAGCCAATTCACACATACACACATATATACATCACATTCAGTTATTCTCTCTCTGTGCCTTAAAATTTGACTGCTAGGAATGAAGAGGTAGACAATTCATTTTTTGGTTTCTTTACTTTCATGACTTTAACTCTGGTATTGACAAGTATTCTTCTGGTATTGACAAGTATTGACAGCAGGATTTTAAGATGGACTACAAGAATATCTGAAATTTATAAAAAAGTCACAGCATCATCTGACATTTTAGGGCATAAAACACATATCTGTAGCCTCTTATCTCCTGGTCACCTACCTAGGTGATAGGTATATACAAAATGATAGAAGTCAAGACCACCATAGATGAAGTGTCTACTATACAACACTACATCGATAAATTCGTATTTTTCCCAATCCCTCTTTTCCTAGATCTCTTCCTCAGCCAAGTATCCATTTCTGTATTAAAAAGCACAGACTACTGATGGCCAAGCAGCTATTACAGGAGTCTCAATTGTGTACTCACTTCTCCTAATACATGCATATACTATAAAAGATAGGCCCAACATTGAGTAAACAAAAAGCAGTAAGAAGGTACCATTTTACATAGTTCAGTCTATATGATATTTTTACCTACTTAGACTTATTTCCTTATCTGTAAAATAATAAGTCTGTATTAGGCAATCATTCAGTTTTTCTTAAATGTTAGATGATTCTGGGCTTCTCCTGACATTCATATATGACAATTGCCCCATTTTTCTCTTTTTATACAATATCTGACTTAAGGGTAGCCAATCAACCACAGGTGCCAGGGAAAGGAGAAAGAGATACTTATTGTTGTATTTGCACAAAAAGAAGGGCTGGAGACTTTTAAAAGGTAGAAAGGTGTGATAGCTATATTAAAGTCCCTCTCCCTTGGCATGGAGGGCTCATTTGTGGTGGAACTGAATGTATAGATCAGATGGCTGATCTTCTGCCTCTGAGAGGACCCTATGGGTCAGATGGAATAATGGATTGCATTTTTCTTTTTAAGAAACTCAATGAACTTCAGGTATCATTTTACTGCTCTTTAATCCTCCACTAATTCCATTTTGTCAGGGACTTGAGAAAGGGAAAATTATTTGTAGATTTCAATAATTTGGTGTCTTCTTGTAGGAAGTTCATTTTATCACCAGGAAGACCAAGTCACAGAGAAACAAAAAATAAAATGTTACAAAATAACATAGTGCTAGGTCAATGAAAGAAAACCAAGTCTCTTGACCAAAAGACTAATTTTTTTCTTAAAATACAAAATGGTTTTTCTGTAATTCCTAACATTTCCAACCCCTGTCCCGAAAAAGCCTTTTGAAACATAAATTTCCATATGCTACTGATCTGTACTTCACCCCCTTTCAGGTAATGAAATAAACAACCATTGCCTCAGACAAGTATTGATTATTAGTAAAAAGTAATTTACCATAAAAATATATAGGAGCAATATATTTAAGTATGAAGAATTATCTAGTCTTGTCAGACAGGATAAGAACAGTATGTAAGGGAACATGTTAGTGCTGTTGTCATTTTACTCTGGGATGTTATTTCCATAAGGACATAAATTTCCCTTAATAGAAAATCTGACCAAGCACCCAGGACTTGTGGGTCTGCAGTAAAGGGAATACACACAGAGGAAATATAGTTTGGCAAGAGATAAAGAGGAGGTGCAGAGGGGTATGGGAGCTTGAGTTGGGAAAGGCAAAAAGGGAATGTATGCATTCACTAGGGGATAGGCTGCAGACAGTTACAGAAGTTATCTCATTTTGTACCTATAATAACCATGTATGGTTGGCTCTACTAGGTTCCTATTTTTTATTTTTAAAAGAATTTATTTATTTATTTATTTGAGATTAAGGATGGGATGGGAGAAGAGGGGGAGAGAAACATTAATGTGGGAGAGAAACATTGATCAGTTGTCTTTTGCATGCCCCCAACTGGACACCTGTACTACAACCCAGGCCTGTGCCCTGACTGGGAATCAGATTGGTGACCTTTCAATTTGTAGGACAATGCCCAACCCACTAAGCCATACCAGTCAGGGTGGTTCCCACTTTTTTTAAAAAAAGAAAACTAAGTATCATAAATATTAACTTAATGATGATCAATTATTTGGGACATTGTTCTACAAAACTAGAAGGCTAAACCATAAACAGACAATCCTTTAGTCCTTTCCTATGACTTCAAATCTCAGCTCTAAATAAGATGACCTAAAGGTATATGTTTTCCCACATTTTCATTTATTTATACCTTAGCTGTTTATGGAAATGAATTGGGAGAAAGATTATGATTTTTTATATCTATAATGCAAAAACAGTTCTGGGTTTGCTTTAGCTTTTTCCCACTGATCAGAATTTTAGAACAACTTTTGTGGGTTTTTTTTTTTTTTTTTTTTTTTTTTGAACTTAAATGTAAAATTTATTATAAATTATATTTTTGTTACAGGATTTGGGTTTAATTTTCTTTTTTTTTTTTTTTTTTTTTAATAATTTTATTTGGTTACTTTTCAAGTACATTTTTTTTTTCCCTCTTCCCCCCCCCCGCCCGGTCTCCCCCCTCCCTCCCATTCCCCCCCCCAAGTCCTCATCTCTGTGTCATTCATACTTGTTCCTCAAAATCCCTCCCCCTTTTTCCCCTTAAGTTCCCTTCCCTCTCCCCTCTGGTCGCTGCCCACTTGTTCTCTATTTCAGCGTCTTTATTTTTATTCTATTTGCTTATTTGTTTTATTCTTTAGCTTCCTGTCAAAGGTGAGATCATATGGTATTTGTCCTTCAATGCCTGGCCTATTTCACTCAGCATAATGCTTTCCAGTTCCATCCATGTTGTTGCAAAAGGTAGTAGCTCCTTCTTTCTCTCTGCTGCATAAAATTCCATGGTGTATATGTACCACAATTTTTGGATCCATTCATTTACTGATGGGCACCTAGGTTGCTTCCAACTCTTGGCTATTGTAAATTGTGCTGCTATGAACATTGTGGTGCATAGGTTCTTTGAAATTGATGTTTTAGGATTCTTGGGGTATAATCCTAGCAGTGGAATTGCTGGGTCAAAAGGCAGGTCAATTTTTATTTTTCTGAGAAAATTCCATACTGTTTTCCATAATGGTTGTACCAGTCTACAATCCCACCAACAGTGAACTAAGGTCCCCTTTTCCCCACACCCTCTCCAACATTTGTTGTTTGTTGCTTTGTCTATTATAGCCATCCTGACTGGTGTAAAGTGGTATCTCATTGTGGTTTTAATTTGCATCTCTCTGATAGCTAACGATATTGAGCATCTCTTCATGTGTCTCTGGATGTTCTGTATGTCCTCTTTAGAGAAGTGTCTGTTCAAGTCCTTTTCCCATTTTTTAATTGGGTTCGATGTCTTCCTAGAGTGGAGTCGTGTAAGTTCTTTGTATATTTTGGAGATTAAACCTTTGTCTGAGGTATCATTGGCAAATATGTTTTCCCATACAGTTGGTTGTCTTTTTAATTTAATACTGTTTTCTTTAGCCATGCAGAAGCTTTTTATTTTGATGAGATCCCATTTGTTTATTCTTTCCTTTATATTCCTTGCTCTAGGGCACATATCTGTAAAAATGTTGCTGCGTGGAATATCTGAGATTTTCTTGCCAATGTTCTCCTCTAGGACTTTAATGGTGTCATGGCTTATATTTAAGTCTTTTATCCACCTTGAATTTATTTTGGTGTATGGTGTAAGTTGGTGCTCAAGTTTCATTTTTTTGCACGTAGCTGTCCAGTTCTCCCAACACCATTTGCTGAAGAGGCTATCTTTACTCCATTTTATGTTACTGCCCCCTTTGTCGAATATTAATTGACTGTAGAGGGTTGGGTTGATTTCTGGGCTCTCTGTTCTGTTCCATTGGTCTATGTGCCTGTTTTTATGCCAGTACCAGGCTGTTTTGATTACAGTGGCTTTGTAATACAGTTTGATATCAGGTATTGTGATCCCTCCTACTTTGTTCTTCTTTCTCAAAAGAGCAGCTGCTATTCGGGCTCGTTTATGATTCCATATAAATTTTTGAAGTGTTTGTTCTATGTCTGTGAAATACGACATTGGTACTTTAATAGGTATAGCATTGAATCTGTATATTGCTTTGGGTAGTATGGACAGTGGCAGTATCGTAGCCAATGAGGTTTATCCGAGGCGCGATTATTGCTAATTGAAAACTTTTGTGGGTTTTTAAAAATCTGTTTTGAGCTAAAATTGATAAGCACTGTTTGAATAATGTACAACAAATTGCTTTGCTTACCATGGCAAATCATGCAGTGTAATGGCACTGAAATAATATTAGCATGGAGACAGGTATTTTAAAGCTAAGAAATGCTCAATTAAGCAAGAAAAGTAACCCCTCCTACTTGTCCTACCCCTTGGTTGGGCATGAATAGGTCTCATAGTTCCTGTCCCAGAAGGCTGCTATGCTCTTTCCTAAGGACCTTTAAGCCTCAGGTCTCATAGTCTAGATGACCCACACCAACATTTGTGCTGGGGGCTGTCCTTGGCTTTTTCCAACTGGAAGAAAAGCAAGGCATAAAATAAATCATGTTTCTGCCTGTGAGCCCTCAACAACATAACCTTTGGGATTTGAGTAGCGATGATCTCTGGAATACCATTTAAATTAATTCGACAACTGACCGGGTTCTACTTGTGCTCATGTTAATACAATGCACTGCAGCAGAAAGACAGGTGAATCATATTAGATCTATGTTCTCAAGGTGTTTGGAGTATATTGGGAAAAACAAGTCATAGACAAATTCTAACAAATGTATAATACAGTGAAAGAGACATAACATTTGGGATGACCTTTAAAAATGGTCTTTCAAGAGGTATGTATGGGGAAGTATAGAGGAAAGAAAGGCATTCCAGGCTAAAGGAACTTTATCAGATGTCATGAGTCTCTCTGCACTACAATCTATTTTGTAAACAATGGCTACACAATCCTAGGCCTGAGAATTTGCTTTAAACATTTCTGTTTTGACTTCCATTTAACAACACTTTTAATCTCTCAGCCTCTCAAGTTATAGTCTCCTTTCATTCTGTTTGCCTCCTATACTGCCCAAATATTCTAACCTTCTTTGTTCCCTTAATATGCTTGATCATTTTTTTGTTTCCAGGCTTCTTGCACTTGATATTCTCTCTACCTAGGATGCCTCATCCAACCTTCTTCCTTTCCCCACTCCTCCTCTTTCTTCCCTTTCTAGCTTCCTCTTCACTTCACTCTCCTATTCCCTCAATTTTTCATTGAGACCTTCCTCGATTCTCCCTACCTCAAAATTACTTTCTTCCCTTCTTTGTGTTCCCAAAGAACTTTGATTTCCTTTGTGTTAATCACTTCATATAAACATTATTTATTTATATCTGATAACCTCAGAAGACTTAGTGCCCTCCAATTCAATAAGGCTTAGCTCAGAGAGTGCTTAGAACATGATACATACTCTGTAAAAGTTGATTAGATGATGATGTTGAATGGTGAGATAACATGGGGAGAATTCAAAGAGTAGTAGGCATTTGACTAAAATATCAGGTACATTCAATAAAATATGGCAGAAAAGATAAGAGCTATACTGTGGAGGCCACCCAAATCTTAATTCAGACATACACTTAAGGGTTTTGGGTAGAGGAATGCTATGATTAGAACATTAGGACCAATGAGAGTGGAAGAATCAGAGGTCGGGAAATACATTAGGAGATAATGTTCAGGGGTGAGAGGTCAAGATTAGATTTAGGGAGCAGAAAATAGAAATAAAAAGGAGATGTTAGATTTAAGGAAAAATGCAGAGTGTTCTGTATAGACTTGGGAAATAATTTAGATGTGCCAGGTGAGGGAACAGAAGTCAGCAAAAAAGAGAGAAGTGAGAGAGATCAAGGAGTTAATAGATGCTCATGAAAGGAGCATTAGGGGTGACTAGATTCCAGGCCAGAGCAGCCTTAGTAATATAGGTGCTAGGATCTTCATGAGATTAAAGCAAGGTAAGTAATATGCTCAAAAGTCAGGTCCAACATGGATAATGAAGCTGAAAAGGATCTTTGCTGTCATACTGGCAAGAAGATAACAAACCCACAAGCTGTTATAGATGGGGAATCTACAGGTGTGGTTAGAGACTTAAACGGAGCAAGCAGATGGAACTGCTATAGCAAACAGGTACACAGAAGGTTTCCAGGCTACTCTAGCCAAGCTCTGTCTGGTTTGATTCTGCCCATTTCAACTCCAGTCAGTATGATGAATGACAGAATCAGCAATAGTAAGAGAACACATTCTTATCCATAATGTTGCTTAGCTAATTCGATTTTCTAATACCTACCAGAATTTTAAGATGCCAGGTTAGAAATATGGAGGCACAATGCATTTCAGTACAGAAAACATGCTTAAACGAGGAGCCGTATAAGTTTTTAATATATATATATATATTTATTTATTTATTTATTTAGAGGGGAGGGGAGAGAAAGAGGGGGAGAGAAACATCAATGTGTGGTTGCTTCTCTCATGACCCCACTGGGGATCTGGCCCGAAACCCAAGCATATGCCCTGACTGGGAATCAAACTGGTGACCCATTGGTTTGTAGTCCATGCTCAATCCACTAAGCTACACCAGCCAGGGTGAAGTTTTAAAATATTATGGGTGAGAGAGACATCAAAAGGAGATTATTGCAATTTAAGGAAAGAATTTGATGTATCTCAAACGTATGATATGAATCTATTTCATCTCTCATGATCAAGATTCCAAAATTCAAAATATGCAGCTCATATAGAAGAGGTGATATATAAAGGACAGAATACAACCAGTAACTAGCTAGGTATCCTCAGAAAAGCTTCTTTCCCTCTCTGGTCCTAAGTTTTATTCACTATGCACTAAGAGAATTGAACTAAATTATATGAAAGGACTCTTCTAGCTTTGAGCAATCTATAATTCATTTAGTTCATTTTTTATTCTTTATATATATATTATTGATTATGCTGTTACAGTTGTCCCAATTTTCCCCCTTTGCCCTCCTCTGCCCAGTACCTACCTTTCCTCCAGCAGTCCTCCACTTTAGGTCATGTCCATGGGGCATACATATATGTTCTTTGGCTTCTCCATTTCCTGTATTATGTTTATTTTGTACTACCAATTATACTTCTTAATCCCTGCACCTTTTCTCTCATTCTCCCCCTCCTGTTAGAGAACCCTCCAAATGATCTCCATACCTATGATTCTGTTCCTGTTCCCATTGTTTGCTTAGTTTTTTTTTTTTTAGATTTAGGTGTCAATAGCTGTGAATTTGTTGCCTTTTTAATGTTCATTGGTTTGATCTTTTTCTTTTTTTAATTAATTTATTTTTTTTAAATTGATTATGCTGTTACAGTTGTTCTATTCCCCCCTTCATTCCCCTCCACCCTGCCCCCCCAACCCCAACATTACCCCCCTTTAGTTTATGTCCATGTGTCTCAAGTCCTTTAGGTTCTATATTTCCCATGCTATTCTTGCCCCCCCATCTATTTTCTATCTACTGTCTATGCTACTTATTTTCTGTACCTTCTCCCCCCCTTCTCCTCCTCCCACTCCCCTGTTGCTAACCCTCCTTGAGATCTTCATTTCTATATTTCCACTCCTGATCTAGCTGTTCTTTTAGTTTGCTTTCGTTTTAGGTGTGGTTGTTAATAACTGTGAGCTTGTTGTTCTTTCACTGTTCATGTTTCAACTTCTTTTTCTTAGATAAGTCCCTTTAACATTTCATATAATAAGGGCTTGGTGATGATGAACTCCTTGAATTTGGTCTTATCTGAGAAGCACCTTATCTGTCCTTCCATTCTAAATGAAAGTTTTGCTGGATAGAGCAATCTTGGTTGTAGGTCTTTAGATTTCATGATTTGGAATATTTCTTTCCAGACCCTTCTTGCCTGTAAGGTCTCTTTTGAGAAATCTGCTGACAGTCTGATGGGGACTCCTTTGTAGGTGACTGTCCCCTTATCTCTTGCTGCTTCTAGGATTCTCTCCTTCATTTTAATTTTGGCTAATGTAATTATGATATGCCTTGGTGTGTTTCTTCTTGAGTCCAACTTTTTTGGTACTCTCTGGGCTTCTTGGATTTCTTGGAAGTCTATTTCCTTTGCCAGATTGGGGAAATTTTCTTTTATTATTTGTTCAAATAGTTTTTCCACTGGTGGTTGTGTCTTTCCCCCTTCTGGTACCCCTATAATTCGGATATTGGAGCATTTAAAGATGTCCTGGAGGTTCCTAAGACTCTCCTCATTTCTTTGAATTCTTGCTCCTTGACTCTTTTCTGTTTGGCCATTATTTGCTTTCTTCTGGTCCACTCCATTGATTTGAGTCCCAGTTTCCTTTTCATCTCTATGGGTTTCCTGTGGAATTCCATTCATTTCCCTTAATTTAGCCTTCATATGTTTCTCTAATTTGTGGCTATAATCAACCAGATCTGTGAGGAAGCTGATGACCAGTGTTTTAAACTGTGCGTCTGAGAGTTTTGCTATTTCTTCGTCGCTTAGATTTATCTCTGGGGCTTTGAGGTCTCCCTGAGACATTTTTGGTCTGTTCTGGCCCTTTAAATGTGAGAAACTGCGCCTTGGATTCCCAGGTCGCTGGGTTGTGACGCTGTATGTGGGGGCGTGGTCAGAGCGGGGAAATGGCGGTGCCCTCTATCGCCGCTGCGGCCGGTCCAACCGCCCACTCCCTCGCTCGCGCGCAATTAGGCAACCACAGTCAACTCGCTGCACCGCCTCCCCACTGCCTCCTCTGCAGTCGCTCACCCGGTGGGTTGCTCGGTCGCTCACTAGGTCCAATCCTGGGTTTGGAACCCGCGCGTCTGGATTCGCGCATCTGGATTCCGCGCCTGGGTCCGACCGAGCCCTCCCTTGCAGCTCCTCACCAGACGCCGGTTTCGCCCCTTACCGGTCGGGCTGAAGAATTTGTTGTTAGCGGACTTCCGAAAAGTTCAGTTTTCCGTGTTCTGGTTGTGTTTTCTGATGCTAATATTTAGTTGTCCCTAAACTTGGTTGTGTGAGGAGGCACGGCACATCCACCTAAACCTCCATCTTGGCGGAAGTCCAAAAAATGGCCGATCTTCTTTTTCTTACACAAGTCCCTTTAACATTTCATGTAATAATGGGTAGGTGATGATGAACTCCTTTAGCTTTACCTTGTCTGGGAAGCACTCTATTTGTCCTTCCATTCTAAATGAAAGCTTTACTTGATAGAGCAATCTACATTGTACGCCCTTGCTTTTCATCACTTTGAATACTTCTTGCCTG